AAATAACGTCAAGGCTTTAGAACCCCACTGGTACACAATTCCCTTTTAATCTGTGACTTCAATAGGAAATTAGATCAACACATAAAATATAATGGAAGCACATGTATTTTACAAAAGTAATAATAAACATATCTTTTAAAAATGATAAAATATCCACAGCCTAGTTAAGTCAAACAACATACCACTGAACTTCAGCTGATAACCTTCCTTAGCTACATAAATACTTCAATTCCTCTGAGCTATTTATAAAAATTAAAATGCATGCTATCAGATGAAAAACATTTTCAAATGGTTATTTCACATGGAAAATGGCTACTTATTCCAAGAAATTTTATTCCAGAAGCTATAGCTGAATGACAATTATGTGGATAAAATTATTTAGTTCCAATAGTACTACCATATATATTTATAAGCCTTTATAAAGGCTGAAAATGTAAAACTCGAAGCCTATACTATATATGATCCAAAAATATGTAACATTCTGAACAGAAGTACATAAGAAGAGAGGTTTCAAATATATTCCAAGTGATTTAGGCTTTCAAAGTATCTTCAGCCAATATTCACTACACTCTGAAGAAATTAAGTAAGTCTTAAACTGAGGTGAAATTACTGTTCACTCTCTACAAAACTCTGAATACCTATTTTTATTAACTGAAACCTTATTATTTCTCAATAAAATGTTAGTATCATCATGGTCAAATCATTACAAATTAAAGATTTAAAAAATCCCCTTTAAATGAGTCAGCTGTTCATACACTACAAAGTATTACTAAGTGGGAATAACCTAAAGTAAAAATTCCAGTTTCTACGTAAAATAGAAATAGTCACTTCTCAATTATAAAGGATCCATTTTTCTATTTGTCTGATTATATGTTCATATAACTTCTCTCTTCCAATTCATGATGCTTCTTTCAGGTCTACTAAGTATCACAAAAGACTGGCAGAACTACAAGGAACAGGAGGTCAATTTCACTGTTCATTAAGTCTTCGTAAAAGTGAATAAAAGAGAAAGTGAAATAGATTCTTCATTTTCCACATTTCACTTTTATCTAGTGTTGTTTTTTCATTATCAAAAAGTGAGAGTTATGTCTATTAGACATTCAAGTGGAAAGGTTAAGAAGACAGATATACTGGTTCAGAGTTCAGTGGAGAGGTCTGGGATAAAGGAACAACTGTGGAAGTATGATGCCTCCAGTTTCATTCTTCTGTCTCAAGATTGCATGGGCTATTTTGAGGTAGTTTATGGTTCCATACAAATTTTAAGAATATTTTTTCTATTTCTGTGAAAAATGCCCTTGGACTTCTGAGAGATTTAATTGAATCTATAGATTGCTTTGGGTGGCATGGACATTTTAACAATATTAATTCTCCCAATCCACAAGCACAGGATATCTTTCCATTTATCTGTGCTCTTCAATTCCTTTCATCAATGTCTTAGCATTTTAGTGTATAGATTTTTCACCTCCTTGGGTAAACTTACTCCTTCGCATTTTATTCTTTTTGATGCAATTGTAAATGGGATTGTTTTCTTAATTTCTCTTTCTGATAGTTCATTGTTAGTGTATAGAAATGCAACTGATTTTTTACATAAATTTTGTATCCTGCAACTTTACTGAATTCATTTGTTAGTTCTAACAGTATTTTGTGCATTCTTTAGGGTTTTCTATAAACAATATAATACTTCTGCAAAAAGGAACATTTTTATTTCTTCTTTTCCATTTGGATGCCTTTTCTTTCTTTTTCTTGCCTGATTATTTCTGGCTATAACTTTCAGTACTATATTGATTAAAAGTGGCAAGATTGAAGAAAAATCAAAAAACAAAAATACTAAAAGAAATAAAATAAATAAAAGTGGCACCCAGCCGGTGTGGCTGAGCAGTTGAGCATCGACCTAGGATCCAGGAGATCTCGGTTCCATACCCAGTCAGGGCACATGCCCTGGTTTCAGGCTCTATTTCCGGTAGGGGGCATGCAGGAGGCAGCCAATCAATGACTCTCTCATCAATGATGTTTCTATCTCTCTCTCTCCCCCTCCCTTCCTCTCTCTGAAATCAATAAAGACATATTTAAAACAAGCACTGGGGGGTAAGACTCGTTCTCTGTATATGGGGGACATTACCTTGTTCTTCATGGCTGCTCACTGCAAAAGCACCCTGATAAATAGCCCAAGTAAAGGACAGTCAGGCCCTTGGGAGCACGGAGGGGGGGAAGGTGGCAAGTTTGGGCATTTTTGTCTTATTCATGATCTTAAAGGAAAAGCTTTCAGCTTTCACCACTGAGTGTGATGTTAGCTGTGCGTCTGCATATATAGCCTCTATTTTGTTAAGGCATGTTCCGTCTATACCCACTTTGTGTTTTTCTCATGAATGAATGTTTGTCAAAAACATGCTTTTTCTGCATTTATGAAGATGATATGATTTTTACCCTTCATTTAATTAATATGGTATTGTCACATTGATTGTGGATCTTGAACCATCCTTCAGTCTCTGGAATAAATTCCACTTGATCACAGTATATGATCTTTTTAATATATTGGTAAATTCAGTTCATTTGGGTTTGTAGAAGATTTTTACATCTGTGTTCACCAGGGATTTTGGCCTGTAATTTTCTTTTTTTATAGTGTGTTTTTCTGGTGTTGGTATCAGGGCAATGCTGGTTTCATGAAATAATTGTGGAAGTGTTGCTTCCTCTTCTATTCTTTGAAAGAGTTTGAGAAGAATTGGCATTAATTCTACTTCAAATGTTTGACAGAATTCACCAGTAAAGCCATGTGGTCCCATACTTTTCTTTGATGGGAGTTTTCTAATTAATGAGTCAATGTCCTCATAGGAAACGGTCTGTTTAGAATTATGTGTTTCTTCATGATTCAGTGTTGGTAGGTTGGGTGTTTCTAGAAATGTATCCCTTTCTTCCAGGTTGTCCAATTTGTTGGTATAAACTGTTCATGGCATTTTCTTTTGATCCTTTGTATTTTGTGGTCTCAGTTGCAATGCCTCCTCTTTCATTCCTAATTTTGAGATCTCTCTCTTTCCTTAGTACGCCTAGCTAAAGTCTATTTTATCTTTTTTTTAAAAACGGCTTAGTTTCATTGATGTTCTTTCTTGCTGTTTTAGTCTCAATTTCATTTACTTCTTTGCTCTTAATCTCCTTTCTTCTACTAACTTCATGCTTAGTTTGTTCTTTTTTATTTCTAATTTCTTGAGGTATAAAATTAGGTTGTTTATTTGAGCTCTTTTTCTTAATGTAGGAGTTTATCACTGTGAACTTCCCTCTCAGAAATGCTCTTGCTGTGTTGGATTAGGAATCATTTTTATCTTCTTTTTATTTTTCTATGTAAACCAAACTTTCTAAGACAACATATTACTGTTATAATCAGAATAAAATGCTTGCAATTTATTGAAAGGATAAAAATGTGAAATGAAATGGGAATGGGTACTAGAAGAGACCACTTTGGGGAAGTATCGGGGTTACTCTAAGCTGATATAGAGGACTAAAAAAGTTAAAAATATTTTAAACCAAGAATGAATTAAGGACATCAGCACACATATACAATTTACACAGATGGGACAAAGGAGAGAATAAAGGAATATACACCTTAGTATAAGGGATGATTCTGTCCAAGACTATCCCCTGTTCAAATTTTGAGTAACATCTGTATCTGTGTTCTTACTATAGAAGAACCAAGTAAGCGCTCTGGTATTTCCCAGCAGTTGCCCAGTTCTTGCACCAAACCATTTGATAGCTTGTGCTGAATGGACAAAGATGAGAAGCACAGAGAAGACAAGATAAAAGCAGCTTGACTAAAACCAAAAACAAACTGCCTCATTCCATTTACCTTTCTAACAAGTCAGTCATGAATACATAAATATACAAATGATGTAAGGCATGGTTTTTGAAATTACAAAAGTGATCCGTTCTTGGATAAGGAAATAAATTTAGTTATGTGACCAGCACGTATTAAATAAAACATACAAAAATCTAATAGAATAGAGCACAACAAGCACTACAGGTAGTCAGGCTAAGAATTGCTGCAAATTTTGTTTTGTTTTCATTTGTACATTTATACCTGTGGGAAATGGCTCACAAATGTAAATTTTATTTCTTACTATGGGTTGTGGTAAAAAAAAAAAAGGGGGGGAGGATAAATAAATGCTCCCTGAGATACCTTCAACTCTAAGTTCAATCATTCTAATTTTGCTGCTCCTGTAACAAATATAATAAATGTTAAGAGGAAGGGAAGGAGAAAGGAGGGAGGGAAGAAAACGGAAAGAGATAGGGATACAAAAAGCATTCCCTAGGAAAGTGCTAAAAGTCTGCTCGTTAAAATACATTTTTAAAGCCCACCTGAAGCCTCAGATAAAAGAGAAAGAAAACAATGAGGAAAAGGAAAAAACCGGAAGCTGGTGAACAGATATGAGGTGGAGAGAAAGAGCAGGTGACGCTGAGTAACTGTGTTAGATATAAAACATTATGCCTGGAAGGAACCTATAATCTACAGTCGCAGAAGTGTACAAACACACAGGTATGCACACACACACATACAGAGTTTTTGTACATGAATCTATGGAACACATTACTATAGTATGGGTATTATTATGAAATGAATATTTATGTCCCCCCAAAACTCATGTTGAAATCTGAATTCCCAATGTAATGGTATTAGGAGTGATGCATTCGGGAGGTGATTAGGTCATGAGGGTGCAGCCCTCATGGATGAGATCAATGCCATTGTAAGAAGAGATCCCAGAGAGCTCTCCCATTCCTTCCACCATGTGAGGACACAGTGAGAAGATGGGCGCCTATGAACCACAAAGTCAGTCCTCCAGACGCAGAATCTGATGGTACCTTGATCTTGGACTTCCCAGCCTTCATAACTATGAAAAATAGTTGTTTATAGTCATCCAGTCTATGGTATTTTTGTTATAAACCCTGAACAGACTAAGACAGGTATTGATAACATTAAATTTTTAAATGTACATTTTGAGTAAATATATGCTTACCTTTTAGAAGAACTTTATTGATCCTCAAGTCTAATTGATACTTGAAAATGCATGCTCTCGTTATAGGTCAAAGATGACTTCAGGCTCAGTACAACAGGGTTCTCCAAATAAAAGTCTTAGTTGGCAAATAGGAAGGAAGTAAAGAAGAATCAGGAAATAAAAATCAGCAGAGTTCTCCTTCAACTAAGCTGCTGGAAAAACAGCAAATACCTAAAAAGAAACAAATAAAATAGCTTCAAATATTCCTATTCCAGAAGGAACCCTAAACCAAAACAAAAGTGCAAAAGTCAGGCTAAAAAAATTTATGTCATAATATGTTAGGTTCTTAGGGGACAAATGTTAGTCTAGTCATTAATCACACTTTTCGTTATCTATTTTAACTCCAGGAAGAAAGGGAGTCATTTTATAAAACCTAAAATAAAAGGCATTATAACACTAAAGTAAAATAAAATATCCAAAAATACCTCAATATAAAACAAATCTTATACTTCATTTCACTGCAATGACATAAAAGTGTTCAAATAACAAACACACTATTCTAATACATAGTAAAAAATATCAAATACTAAAATCACATGAAATAAAAAATGGAAATTTGACATTTGAAAAAAAAATATGAAAAAAAATTCCACTGAAAGTGGATTCCAAAGCATTAATAGGATATAAAATTAAAATACAGACATGTCAGTTTAAAAATATTATTTGTGAATTAAAAATTAATTTCCATAGCCTTTTTGCCTAAATATCTCATCACTTTCAATATACTTTCACAAATCATATTTGACACAAATATATCTCTACATAAAATCAGCAAGAATGACAACTGAATTTCTTAAACAGCTATCTAATATAAGTAAAGAATTTCTTAATAAATTTACTAAACAAATTATTATCACTCTCCTCTAGATTTCATTCTATATTAGTTTACTTTACTCCCAATAACATTTTAGAGCTTATCAGGAGCTCAGCATACATACAAAAGGCAACAGTAATTAGGCAATATAATGCAAACATAAATCAATAACATAGAACTGGAAAGTATTAGGATAACAAGTAACTGAAAGCTACTGAAATTCAAAAAATAAAATTCCTTAAATACATTTTAGCATCATACACTATTAAAACCAAATAACAAAATAGGATTTCTGAAGAATACAAATAAATGTAGGATGGATCTCTAGCAGATTTCCAAACAATGTTTCATGCTCTTTTTTTATATACAATTCATGTTTTGTTAAGAGAATGATTTATCACATTATAATGTAGCATTTCCTTACTTTAACTTTCAATGTCATCTGAAAAAGTTATAAACAATAAGTTTCTAAATTATATAATATGCATATGGAAAATATCTAAACATTGTCAGCAGCTCCTTGGACAGCAATATTATCACCTGGTTTTTCTGGATGGTTGAAATAAAGTTGCTAAACCCCTAAAATAAAGCATGTTTCTATTTCTCATCTTTTCCTTGTAAAAATACAGACCATTTTTATTCTATGGATGACTCTTTAAAAATGAAAGACATTCAAATATCTTTCAAATATTCCAACATGTGTATATTTGATGAATGTGTATTTATGTAACACAATATATATTGTCATGCTAACGTGTCAATACTATTCAGAGAACAATGGCTATTTCTTCAGAAAGTGTGACAGAAACGAAAAGAAAAACAAACTGACACTACAATCAGTGTCCTGAGTAGTTGTAATTTGTTTTATTTCTAAATACACACTTTATACCCAGGTCAATTTTACATTTCTTACACTGCTAGGATTGTAATTTATTTTCTTGTTCAGATAGCATATGTCCAATAAAAGATCTCATTGACATACCATCAGAGAAACCAAGAAGGGAGGAAAAAGACGACAGGCAGAACTAGGAGACACGAAGTCTATCTGTACTGTGCAACTGTATGAGACAAGCAGACTTGCTCGCAATCCATATGCAGAAGGAATGTTACCACAGTGTCACTGAAAGGATGTACCGGTTCTTTTTCTAGTTATTCTCTAGGGAATTGCATAAAGACTGAGAAATCTAGAAACAGACATACACATGCATATATAAAAATTATTGTCAGTGTATAAGTTATTGCTGCCCTGGGACTGCAATAATTTATGTAACATCTGTTTTCATATTTTTCTAATTTTTTTCTTAATTAACATGCATATTTAATGCATAAATGCTCAGACCACCTCTTTTTTCTGCTGACTGTGCCTCTTTACTTTTGAAGTTGTGTACTCCTAGGGAGAATCCAGGATAGATGGAAACCAAATCTTACTGAAAGCACTAATCTTTAAATGTAAACAAAGAAATAAAACAATTTTCAAGAAATTACTAAAATCTTAAGTGTCTTCATAAGAACATTTCAATCTGCCAACAAGTCATGCAGTAAATTAAGGTCCAAACACCAGAAAAGCACAATAAAAACATAATTCCAATATTATTTATATTAACCTTCTTGATTTCTCTTTTAACTTTTCTAAGAGTTGAGAAACCTATTACAACATCTATGATTTCTTGTCTGTAAGTTCTGGTAGGTTTTTAAATTTTTAACTTTTTACTATATGAACACTCTTCGTATAGTAAACATCAAGACATATGTAACCAACCATTTGTTTTTTTTTTAAATATACAGTATATATCTTTATTGATTTCATGGGGGGGGAAGGAGAGGAAGAGAGAGAAACATCAATGATCAGAGAGCCGTCATTGACTGGCTGCCTCCTGCACGCCCGACTGGGGATCGCGCCTGCAACCTGGGCATGTACCCTGACTGGGAATAGAACCGAGATCTCCTGAATCCTAGGTTAATGCTCAACCGCTGAGCCAAGCCCAGCCAGGCACTATTACTTTTTTGAATTGTAAATTTCAAATGTTGTGCAGATGCAAGGAAAGGGGAAAGTTTTTATTCTAAAGCTCATTCAAGTACAATCAACTTCTGGAAGCTTTTAATCTGAACAGGGGAATTCAAAACTCAAAATACTACTTACATTAACTTTTAATAGAAAAAAAAAATTAGAGGCTGATCAAACCAATGCTATAATAACTAAAGAATTCCCAGATAATAATGCTTAAAATGCCAACACTGTGACTCCATCTGTACTTACCTCACTTTAGAATTACTCACTTAGTATTTTATTGCCTAGTTATGTACTTCAGTCAGTCATTTAATATTTCTCTTCTGTTGTCAGGTCTGTTTGTAGACACTGAAACTGTCTCAGCCTAAAACTTACATTTTATTTCAGGAAACAGACAGCAGTACCCAATAACCATGCCAATACATAATTGTAAACAGAGATAAATATTAAAAATATGGGCAGTGGAGAGCCATGAGACTTTATAACAGGAGACTTATTTAGTCCAGAGATCAGCAAAGACCTAAAGAAAGACTGTTTAATATGAGATCAGAAAGGTATACGAAGTGTTCCAGTCTGGGCACAGCAAGTGCAAAGGTCTAAAAGCAATTACATAAAAAGCACATCCAAAGTGAAGAAAGAGAAGCAGAGAGGCCAGTCGCGGCTAGAGAGGGAATGTATATGAAACAAAATGGGGCAGAAAAAGTCAGTAACGCAAAATTACTGGAGGATTTTAAATAAGGTATGGCAATAAATTATACATTGAAGAAATATCGAATTTGGCTGAATTATGGAGAGGGGCAAGAGAGGTGCAGGGGAGGAGTTAGATGTGAGAGGACAGTAGCTTAGATTGAGGTGATGGTGATGAAGAGAAGGCAGAAAGAGATTTATGGGATAACAACCAGCCGAGATTAGATTTTGTAGAGGATGCAGATGGGTAGCAGTTTCATTCACTGATACACAATCCCTGGAAGAAGATCCGTTTTGGGGAGACAGAGACTGAGCTTACATTTGGATGTGTTAAGGGGGGACCTGCTGAAGATGTCCTGTAGGCACTTCAATGTAAACATCTGGAGCTCTAAAAACAATCTGGAACTTTGAGAATACTCTGGGCCATATCAAATTAAGAATTTACCAGGATATGAGTAGTGTAAAAAAAAAACCGGCCTACAATCTTTTCCCAAAGGAAAATCCTATCACGCATCCAGTATCTTCCTCATTTCTAGCTATCATACCACATCAGAACAGGAAAACATATATTTCATAATTTGACAAACTCATTTAGCCTATAATTGGTTAACTCCACAAGGCATCATTTGCCTCATCTTAAGTTACTGAATAATAGCCATCATTTATTGGAATGCCCACTCTGGGACAAAACTATAAAAATATATGGAGTCGCTAATAAAGCCAGTAAGTGATAGAGGCATATTTCCAACCCAAGGTTACCTGAGTCCAAAAGCCATGTTCTTTCCACTAAAAAAGACTGTAGCATATATAGTGTTGAAGAGTCAGGGCTTTACAAGAAAGCAACCTCAGTTTCAATCCTGGCCCCAGAAGATCACTTAAGCTCTCTGACATTTCCTTACCTGCAACTCCTCCCTTGCTAAGAAGTAGTGATGTTTTAGGAAACATCTGAAGCCTCTGTCACAGTCCACTCGGTTGTGCATCACCATTAACATGACATGTTCTTTCACCAAGGAGTGGCAGTTGAGATAGGAGTTAGAGCAGCAACTAAGACTGACCTTGAAAGCTTTGGAAATTTCACAGCACAGGACATGGCAGAACATTGGGTACAGCTACTTCATTCAGCTCACCCCTGCTATTCCCTCAACCAGGGAAAAGCAGCTTCCAACAGAAGAGCCATCAGGAGACAGCCTAAAAGCTGCTATTAGAGAATTCAGCAGTGGTTCTAAAACTTTAGTGTGCATAAAAATCACCTGAGAAGCTTCGGAAAATGGAGATTCCCCAAAAGACCCTCCCCCCAAAGATTCTGATAGAGCAGTGAAACAGATGACCCTTCAGTCTTTCTAAAAGATATCTACCAGCAACAATCACTTTCCATTCTTCAGATACATCACTTCAAAATTATTTGTTAACTATATGTAATCTTAATTCAGTCCAACTAAACTGTACCCCAAAGGTTCCTTTTCAACAGAAAGAGGGATAGCCATGGCTGAGTGGCTCGATTGGAGCATCATCCCATACACCAAAATGTTTCAAGTTCAATGCCCAGTTGGGCAAGCACAGAAGGCAAATTCATTAATTTTCCTCTCTCTCCCTCCCTCCATCCTTCTATCCATCCCTCCCTCTCTCTCTCTAAAAGCATATCCTTGGGTGAGGATTAAAAAA